CTTCAAATCGCAAAAATCGAGAATCTCGAAAACTGAGAAAGTATCAGGAGAACATGATCAGCAAGGAGGTGGCACTATCTAAATTTCCAAGAATTTTTCGAGAATCCGGAAAACCGAAAAAGTATCAGGAGAACATGATCAGCAAGGAGGTGGCACTATATAAAATTCCAAGAATTTTTCAGCATTTCCAAGAATTGAACTTCCGAGAATTGCAAACTTCAAATCGCAAAAATCGAGAATCTCGAAAACTGAGAAAGTATCAGGAGAACATGATCAGCAAGGAGGTGGCACTATCTAAATTTCCAAGAATTTTTCGAGAATCCGGAAAACCGAAAAGTATCAGGAGAACAGGATCAGCAAAGAGGTGGCACTATCTAAATTTCTAAGAATTGGTATTCCGAGAATTTAGATAGTGCCACCTCCTTGCCGATCATGTTCTCCTGATACTTTTCCAGTTTTCACGATTCTTCATTTTCGTAATTTGAACTTTGAAATTCTTGGAAATGGCGACCAATGAGAGTCGATAAATCGCTGGCTGCTTTGCTCTCATTGGCTAGAAGACAGTTGCCAATCACCAATCTCAATCCAGCCCGCGTGGACAATTGCTATTGTGATTCAGCCTCAAGGGTTAGTGAGCTCCCAAAGGCATCCAAAAGAATTCCGCACCGTCCATATGGATGGCCGAGAAAGATGGCCGCCCTGATACCGAGGTATACTCTACAAGCAGCAAGTAAGATTGTCACTTTACTCATATCCACCGTAATATTTTGCGACTCGTTCGGAAATTTAATTGCACCAATGTTTTATATGTAAATATTCCCAATCCTGCTTGTACACTCGCCGTCTGACAGATACCATTTCGGAATTATGTAACCAACAAAGTTTACGTCCTGGTTTGTGTATATTTCAGGAAAGCAGACAACATGCATCGCGGCAGTTGCAGTGCAGACGAATCACTACTCGTCGCAGCCGCGAATCATCAAAGATCCCACGACCGCCTCCTTGAAAAGAGGCACAGGTGGCCGTAGCTCCTTCAATGGCATGGTATGCACCCTGTTTGGCGCAACTGGATTCGTCGGCCGTTACGTATGCAATCGCCTTGGCAAGATCGGTACTCAGGTGAGTATGACGCGCTAAGATTAAGGAAGCCGACACTTCTACAGTGATATTGGCTGCGTTCGGGAAGACCCTGTTAGCGCTGAAAGCATCTGTCTATGTTCGTCACTCACTATATGCCAAACAAAGAAGACGCTTTTAGCACTAAAAGCGGGCTCTCCAAACCTACCTATTGTCTACTGCGACACAACGCTATAATTGAAATATAATCAGCTTGTTGATCGACTGCTGCACTTGATTTGCAGTTAATAATACCGTACAGAGGTGATATGTATGACTGCATGCCCCTGAAGCTCTGCGGAGATTTGGGGCAAATCTTGTTTCACCCATTTCACCTGCGCGACACCGAATCGATAAAAAAGTGTATCAAATACTCCAACGTCGTGATCAATCTAATTGGACGAGATTGGGAGACTAAGAACTTCACTTACCACGAGGTGAACGTTGAGGGTGCCAGAAGACTCGCTAGGCTGTGCAAGGAGGCCAACATTGAGCACTTCATCCATGTGTCTGCCTTGAACGTGGGCGACGAATTGGAGGTAGATTAAACTACGTTTAGATTAGATTACGACGACTTGCGAACCTCTTGCTTTAATAATATACTTTTGTGCGTTAAGTCACACTTATTGGACGGTGGTTCGGAATTCCTTCGCACGAAATGGGAAGGCGAGTGTGCGGTGCGAGAGGAATTTCCCGAGGCTACGATTATCCGGCCGTCGGATATATGGGGTCAGGAGGACCGATTTTTACGCTCATTCTCTGGAATAATGAGACATCATTTCAAGTAATTTTGCGCGAGGAGATTACATACATTTTTCTATCGTATTAGAAATGTAGCCGTACGATCTCTGACGCTGCAATACATTCGTAGGACCGTACCGTTGTGGGAAAAGGGTGAAAAGACGGAGAAACAGCCGGTAGCTGTGTACGATGTCGCCGGAGGTATTACGGCTATTGCGCGAGATCCTAAAAACACAGCTGGCAAGACTTACCAATTTGTCGGGTATGGACCTATCTAGTACTCGGGTGCGACTCGAACGTTATGCGTCTCGGTTTCCGCTAACTGAATATTTGTTTAGGCCGCATCGTTACAAACTGTCCGAATTACTTGACTGGTTCCATCGGATACGGATACGCGACCCAGTCCAATATGGCTACAAGAGACTGGACTTGAAATACGCTCCACTTTTCAAAGTTAAAGTTACCTTGAACGAATTAATCAGTCCGGCATATCCAATAGGACATTTACAGTGGGAACGTTTGGAAAGAGTAAGTTTTAATTTTATTATGAGAGAACGAACTCTAATGAAACACGGTGTAGATAACAAATAGCATTATTACATTTGACATTTTGTTCTGCAGGAAACTCTGTCCGATAAGGTGTTAAACACATTGCCAACTCTAGAGGATCTCGGCATTGCGTTAACGACGATGGAATCGCGAATGCACTGGGAGTTGAAGCCGTACCGCAAAGACGTTCAATATATGGAGAGTGTTGGCGAATTCGATCCTATTCCGAATCCACCGACTGTTTCAATTCACTAAACGCTTTCTAACAATGTGCTAGATTAATATAAGTATAGAATGAAATATGTACTCTTACTGTTAAGTGATACTTGCTGTAAAGAGTATATTGTTAATTAAATATCGCGGTCTCAGATACACATTAAATTATTTAAACATTTTTATTCTACGAGTTCTTCAGTTCAATTTTAAGGGAATACTGGGTAAATTTATCAAATCTGTGCTATTCGCGTTCTATACACAGTAACTGTAAATATCAACTTACAAGAGTTTATTTCGAATATTTTTTAAAGAATCTGCAATGGTGTTGAAAAATCATTGTGGAAATTGTACGAGTCTGTATATTAATGTTTTATTCCATTTATTATATGACCGGACATTCTAACTACAATGAAAGATTACAGTTTTTAATAATCGTGTCTATTAAACGCTATTTCAAACATTGGTAAAAAATATAAGCTAGGTTGGTCCTCGGTTAATATGCTGACCGAAGGCCAAGCAAATCCTCCATTACGAATGGCAGCGAAACACGCTTTATATAGTGTTTTTTTTTTCATTTTTTATTGTAAGCATAATATAGCGTTATCTCGTAACTCTGATTCAGTTCATATATAGCCCTTGGACGCCAATGTACTTTTATCTATGAAGCGGTATTTTTTTTTCACGAACTCGATTATGAGAAGAACAAAATGTTCTGTGGTATATATCGTTTAAAATTTTCTACTTGATACTTTCTTTTCTTTTCCCCTTCGTACTCCCAAGTATTTACCTGACTTACGATATCAGGTAAATACAAAAACGTTGGCACATAAACATTTTTATACAAACGTGTATACGACTGTTGACGGTATCAAATGTAACTCGGAAGCATTTCGTATATCGTGACATTTTAGGGAGTCAATGCCTCGTCTAATTAATGATGCAACCAGTTTTACCGGTCTCGATGAAAGCAAATTTTCGCATGCGGTTTCTAATGTATGGTACGAGAAAGCGATTTCTAAGATAACGCAGCGAGATGTCACGGAAGAGTTCCACAGTTAGTGGAAGTCCTCGCTTCGCCGACATTACGATCGACCTTTATACGCATACATAGGCGTACAAAAAAAAGGATTCGTATGGTAATTAATTAGTCGTCTAAAGTGTTGAGCATGTGATACACTGTTATCCACTTCCGTCTCGAGATACATCACATTCCTAAAGATACACGGATTAAAAGGTCCTGACGAAAGTATGTGTCGAAATACAAAATCGGAACGATCGGAAAAATAAAAAACCGATTTGTTCAGTAAATTATTCCCCCCCCCCCCCCACCCCCTTTTTTCTATTCGAAATTAGATATTTTATTTTCTTGGAAAATTCTACAAATAAATTTTGAAATTATTTTAGATTTTATATGATTTCTCGATAGAAGATAAAAAATTGACTTTCCACGACGAATCTTCGCACTGATTCCTTTTAAACCCCGTGAATCCGTGCAGGAATTTTAACATCCTGATCCCTCTTCGATCATCTTGCGCACCAACGCAATTAGCCGTGTGTACTTAACCGCTAAATACTTTCATCTCATTTCCAAATTATTTAAACGATCCCTCCGTCTATACTAATGGGGCCGTATAAAGCAGGTGTGAACGTACAGGCGCATAGCTCGGATTCCTGGACCCGGAAGTAAGATTTGTGATAGATCTATTTAGAGATAAGACTCTCCAAAATTATATATATATATATGTATTGTATATATAGCTAGCTTTTCAATATTATATCTTTGCGTCAAGATATGTCATAATGCGAATTTTGGTAGTAACCAATATTTAAAGTACAATGTGTGTGTGTGTGTGTGTGTGTGCATGTGTGTGTATATGTGATGTGTGATATAAAAAAATCGACTTAGCCCTTTGGGCGGATAAAATTCCATTATACTTTCGCTTCTTCTATTTTGTTTCAATGTTCCTAAAAAACGTATCCTTTATGACGCGTTCACGCAAAATTCGAAGTAAATGCGACAGTGCTGGTCCAGTATGCCGGCCAGTTAAAGCTCGTACAACGTTTTATCTCTCATGACACCACCCGCGAGCGACGTTCGTGAATTCGCGGAATTCGCTCGTCTCAATTGATTGCGAAAAGAATGTATTTTAATTAAAAAAAAACCCCCCATCAAACGTTCGCCGCTGTGAAACCATGTTAAGATGGCTCCTGCATAAACCGACCGAAAGCAGAAAGAATTGAAATTTAAGTATGTTGCAGTTGTAAATTTTATCTATCAGTACGCGAAAATTTCAGACCCGGTCGTCGATGAAATAATGAATAAAGAAAAAATGTTAAAGCTATATTTTTTAACATTCCAGTAAACACCAAGTAACAGTTACATATAATTTCAATATTATAATTTCCTATTCAACAAGATAAATGTAATGTAACACCCACCCAGTGAGAAATGATTCGTCGATCGATGTCGAAATGATGTCGAATCGACGTCAATTCGACGGTGTCGATATCGTTTCGACGTCGTTTCGACGTCGATCGACGAATCATTTCTCACTGGGCATTGTTAAGTAGGAAATTATAATATTGATATTATGTAACAATTGTATTACTTGGTGCTCACTGGGATAAGGGTTGTGGGCTGATCGCTCACAGAAGTACTTCGAGGGTTAATATTATTTTATAGAAAAAGTAGATCTTAAAAAACGGAGTAAACATAATAAACGTCACGATCAATTTTTTTTATCAATTATGCATTAAGTAATATTATTTTAATAAAAAAAGGTCATGTGAACTTATAAAAATCAAACGGAGTCTCACCAGAGCACCCATACTATCCGTTTCTTCGTGCAGGAGCCATTTGACTATTAACTGACTATTAACTATGCCTATGTCAGAAGCAGAGATGCGAACTCTGCATCTGCAAACCACAGTATAAATTTCTCTTATATTATAAATGAGTGCTCGGAGTTGCACCATTCGGGTGCAAACTCGTAGAGCGGAACCTGAGAGCGACCACGCCGGCATTTTACTTGTTAAGTCTATCGCACAATGCCAGGCAACAGGAACAGGGAATAGAATTTCTGCCGCGTTGGATTGGTTGGAAAAAATTTTTCCGACGAATCCAACGCGTCAAAAATTCTATTCGCTATTCCTGTTGCCTGTTGCTTGGCATTGTGTGATAGGCTTTACTGTTTCGCTAGGCTGTTTCCAACGCTTTACGCCCACTTTCATTTTTGGAATTACTTCGCTACGCTCATTTTCATGCACTGTCGATTAAGTCTCCATTTTGTATGTGCCCGTGCTACGCCTATTTTCCAGAATTATGCCATAAATTTCAAAATTACGCATACGCGAGTTGTTTACATGATGTTTACACCAACTTTTTTTTCATGTAGGCAATGTAAACTTTATAAATTAGATGTTAACATGCATAGCACGGACACGCACCCCTTACGGAAAAAACACTCACGTTTTGAGTGTTAACACTCGGTTGTTCGAATTTACTCTCAAACTTGGGAGTAAACGCCCAGATTTAAATATTTACACTTGGGTGTTTTTTTCGTAAGGGACTAGGTGGAGACTTTATTGACAGTGCTTGAAAATGGGCGTAGTAGTTACAAAAATTAAAGTGGGCGTAAATAAGGCGCTTTCAGCGTAACGAAACGGTAACAAGTCAAACGCCCGGCATGGCGCTTTCAGCGCCGGCATGACGCCGGCCGCTTTCAGGTTTCTCCCTGGCCCTACGAGTTTACACCCTTCGGCAATTTCGTAGGCGACGCCTATTCACTACTGTCCCCTTGACTACACTCAATATCGATCGAGGTTCGGTCAATCGATATTGGGCAGCAGTGAATAGGCGTCGCATACGAAATCCTTCTGTGAAATGTCTCAGACATATACAGTTACATTAGACATTTACAAATAACCAGTATACGGTCAAGCAATGTATGAAAATCAAATGACAGCAACTGATGCTAGCCCGTCGCTAGGAATATGAATTCCATGTTCGAGTGATTTAAGTATAGCCAGCATAATCCCATACAGCACGCATGTCTAAAAGACATGTCTAAAATACGACTTAAAGATGTCTTAAAGATGTCTTTTAGGCCCGGTCTACAATGAGTCGTTAGTCGTTAGTCAGAAGTCGCAACTATATGTTGATCCTTTTCCTTTCTGGGTGGAAGAAAAAGGACCGACATATAGTTCCGACTTCTGACTAACGACTAACAACTCATTGTAGACCGGGTCTTAGACATGAGTGCTTTATGGGATGTTAATATTGTCGTAGTTAAGTTTACAGCTAAAGAGAGGACCCAAGGAAAATAAAAAGTCAATTTGATGTCATATTGACCAGATTTATATCATATTTTGGTCACTATGACATCGAATTGACGTCGTCTTGATTTTTTACTTTTCCTTGGGAACAGCGTTCAAAGTTTCATCCAGATTTCGTCACGTAATTTGCTAAATATTTCCCTGTCGGGAAACTTGTGCCCATACTGGCCATCCGGAGTGCAACTAACTCCGAGCACTGTTATAAATAATAATAACAACTTATATGTCAACATTTCGTATACGATAGTTGAATATAATAGAACAACACGCTCCTCCGTCGCGTCTTAAATATTCTACCCAGATTAAAGAACAAGAAATTGATACCCTCCACGATTAAACAACAAGAAATTTATATTTTCAACGCTAGATAAATCGATCTTCTCGATATGTGAGATCACGTTCGTTCACTTTCATATGTTCGAGAGGATATGTATCCATTTGGCATTAATGACTTTTTCTGCTCGTACGGCCGTAACAATGGCGTCTCGCGCGAATAAATCTCTCGTTACGTGCGCGAATGTCCATATAAATCTCGATCCGATATTATCGAGAATAATATTGCGGACAAATGTTACGGTGACAGCAGCTGCTTTATTGCTATCCTTTTTTTAGTTTTTGGTAGTTCTGTGCATATGTCCCTGGTGATATTTTTCTCGATTAACAACGGGAAATATCGCATTGTACAACAATCTATAAAAAGCACCTATTTCATTCCCTCCGGATGAGATTTTTCCACAATGGAATATTGATTCTATTTATCGAAGCCGAATTAAAGGCAGAAAATTATGAATTTCTCTTGTTCTTTACATTTTCGAAACTACTCGAATAGCAGTTGATCTGGAAAACAATAGAGAAAATTCTTTTAAAGTCCCAAATAATCTTTCGATAAACTTGAGAACGACAAAAATTCTTTATTAGGAAGGATGCTATTTTTGAGCGGACTGGATCACTTATTGATACTATATTTCTATAAATTTTGTACATGTAATTTTCCAATTGAGTAAACTGCGCGCCGATTATTTATTACTTAAAAAAACAGCTTTCTATTAAAACCTATAGCTAAAAATATAGGAATTTTTTTGCAATAAATGATTTGAGTGCTTTTAAAAAATGCTTGATAACATTGAAAGTTAAATCGAGTATCAGTTTAAGTGAATTTACTGTTTCACCGAAAAGCTGTGTTTGCTGACAAAGAATTGGGACAAATATATATAATACATAGTTTATACAAAGCTACCAACATCCAGACCGACCGAAAATTGTATCTTTCTTGATCAATTGTGAAATTCGCATCGATTCTGTTTATTATCAAATTCTTTATTATAATCAAATTTGTTTCTCTTTTTTGCATTAAAATAACTACCCAGTGAGAAATGATTCGTCGATCGATGTCGAAACGATGTCGAATCGACGTCAATTTGACGGTAACGATGTCGATTCGACATCAATCGACGAATCATTTCTCACTGGGTACCCAAGGAAAAATGAAAAGTCAAGATGACGTTAATTTGATGTCATATTGACTAAAATATAACATAAATCTGGTCAATATGACATCAAATCGACATCATCTTGACTTTTTATTTTCCTTGGGTAATCTGCAATGTTAGAAATTAAAAATAGTTTTCTATTTGTCGATCGAAAGTCAGATTTCTACCGTTTAGATGAATCAAATTTACACCTTGGTATCGCAGATCGAAATTTCATTTACTAATTATAACTTTGTAGACCTAGTTAAAGTTTACTGCTTGTCTTTTGTCGACTACTCCGAATAGCGAGACTATTCTTTCCTTTCTAATGAGAATTCCTGTCGCGTCAAGTTACAGACGATCGAGACGACACTCTACGGTGATAATATACCTAATGCGACTCGTGCGAGATGCCTTCTCGCTTCGTCAAAAATTCTTTACAATTGTAACAAAGTTTACTCGACTACGAAGACTCCGCCGTATAGGCGGAGGAAAATGGCAAGGAAGAAAGACCTCTCGTTACAAGCGGTACAATAATAAGCGCGCACGTAAATATACGGTTGTCCTCTCATCGTCGCCTTGGAAGCATCTAGGAGCGAGCGCGGAAATGATCGTCGAGGAATCAGAAGGGCTGGAAGTCCGCTCATCGGAAGAGGTTTGTCGAGAACAGGAAGACGATCAGCAGCAGCGCCGAGAGACGGGTTACCCCGACGACGCCCGAGCCCAGGTTGTCCTGGACCACGTTGTCGTGGCATCGCGCGACGAGGTCGAAGTCGACGACGTTCATGGGCTTGCCGTTGTACTCGAACGGCGAGATGCAGTAGTTGCGGCGTTGGAACTCGACGCTGTTGCCGCGGGCGAAGTCGCTCTCGAGGACGTTGTGCGCCTGGCAGTCGCACGGGAAGTGATTATCAATCGCGCTGACTGTGTCCACCTCGAGGACGACGTCCCTGGCGTGGCGCGGCGCCTCCAGCACGTGATTACCGTGGAAACGCAGGAGCTCGATGTGGTTTTCGTGGCGCAGGTGCAGACGCTCAATCAGGTCGACCTTGTTGTTGAGCACATTGAGGCGGTCGACGTGCAAGAGGCCGATGAACGCGTGCCTCTGCACTACGCCGAGGTCGCTCTCCTGGATATAGATGGAATGCACGTGCGAGAGGCCGCGGAAGGTGTAGGCCTGCAACCCAGACAGGTCCATGTAGCTGAGCTTGAGCTGGCCTACGTACTGAAGGCCGTTGAAGGCGTCCTGCTCGATCGTGCGGATGCCGGACGGGAAGATGAGATTGTTGACGTTGGTGAGGCCGGCGAACGCGTGGCTGTGGATCGTCAGCAGCGGATTGTTGGTCAGCAGGATGACATTCACGTTCGACGTGCCGGCGAACGAGTAGCCCTCGACGTAGCGGATCTTGTTGTTCGCCAGCAGCAGCACCGAGATGTTCTGCAGCGCGGCGAACGAGAACTTCTCGATGCACGGCAGCGGGGTGTGCTGGATCGAGAGCTCGCGCAGCCGGTTCAGGCCGCGGAACGCGAACGGCCGTATGGAGGAGATGTTGTTGCCGTCCAGGGTGAGCTTACGTAGGACCCGGAGGCCGGCGAACGCGTCGCCCTTTATCACCGGGAAGTTGTTCTTCGTCAGCGACAGCTCCTCCACGCTCTCCTGCAGCTGGTGCGCCGGGATGTCCTCGAGGCCGCCTGTATTGCAGAGCACCTGTAACGGAAGCCACGTTTCATCTCACAGCAGCGCACGAGGACGTCTAAACGAATGGAAGATCGTTATGACTTTTATAAGAGCACGGAAAGAAAGATGTAGCTGCTGCACTGACAGAAAAAAAATGGTTGCAGTTACCACAATCTTACTACAATTTATAGTCATTTTAGGAGCCAACCGCATTTTTATAATTCTTTCAACTTATTTGTTATAAACCAAAACGAGCTTTTAATTTGGTATGGTGTACTTTAAATATTGCAATAACACGTTGGGTGTTAAATTTACTATTATTGTGATTGTATTTACTATATAAAAATAATTAACTAATTTACTATTCATTATCTGAATAGTTCAACAGAATAATAGTTGATATTTTATAGTAAGTTTTTTAAATCGTTGGCATCTCTGTGTATATATGCTTGCTATTAGTAATATTATGGTAACAATTACTGTAAAAATGATATTCTTGACTATAGTTATTTTACTATGCAATTATAGTTTCAAATACTACATTTTTTTCTATCAGTGTAGCTAAGAACTGAGTGTGGTGACTAAATTTCCGTTGTAAAATATGGACAGCTGATATTTAAAATGTCAACTTTTAATCGACCTCAGCTGGCCACATTTATTGAAATTTTTCTAGCAGATATTTCGTTGCGATAGCTAAATATTTTGCTACTGTGCTTATTGCATTAGATGCGACAGTAAACCGTTCGCTGTGATCTAGAAATGTTTCGTTTCAGTGAGCTTGTAGGCTCGAATACGCTATTTTGCTTGCCATGGAGATTTAATTTTCAGGTCCGAAGACCTTTAAATGACCCGTTTAAAGATCCCAACTTGTTTCCGAGCTTTTCCGAGAAGCGCGTGGCCATTTAAATGACCTTTCTACTTTTCACCTTCTTTTCAATTCTTAAGAAAATGAAACGACATAGATCATGATAAAGAAACTCGCACTCTTACGAAATAAAGAAGCACACTTGTTAGAAGAAGCAAACCCTCTACCTGTTTCGGAGAAAGGCAAATGCATTCTGGCGGACAGTCCCGGTTTCTTGTCGTAGTAATCTCCAGGTCGGAGGTATACGTTAAGTCCACTGCTGCTATGCATAGCAGGTAGTAAATGCAGATCTGGAAAATTAAAAAGTCCACGGTTTAGATTTAAGGTACATGAAGAAATATGAGTCTTGCATATTCATTCATTTGCCGCGAGCGCGCCGTGAGGTATGCCGTCTTAATTTTAAATCCGATAGATTCACATCTCCCCGAGAAAACAGTCTCAGGAGTATATTAATAACAAATAGAAAAATACTAACGCGCTAAACAACTTTACTAATAATAGCGAGAGAAGATAAAAAAAACAGACTTGTAAATGGAGCAGGAAAAAGATTTACTTATTTTTGAGTCGAAAATCTTGTACGGTTTCGACCGTCGTTTAGACAATTGTGCATCATAATTATCAATTGAAAAAAAATAGCTACATTTCCCGCGATGAACTTAATAATTAGGACTGTATGCATGTATTAGGACACGTCGGCCATTAGGTTGGTGGGTATTTGCGAAGTGTGCGACGGCAGCTGGAGCGAAATTGGAGCAAAGCTGTCGATGATCCCGACTCATTCTTTTACGTCATTCAAAGAGAAAAATTTTTCAATCTCCTCTATCCCCCGGCTTTCCGAACGCCGATCCAATATCCGAGCCCGGGCGAAAAATCACGGAGGGACGAGACCTTCGCATGAGCCTAACATTTATCTCCCTACTCGAGGGGTCGGGCGCAAGCCGATCGCGGGGCATACCGGACGGCGCGACGCATGCAAACGCACGAGACGTGGGTGCGTATTTTTATGCACCGCCACCGCATGCCGGGCTGCGTACCTGCGTCCTGCGATACATCAATCCCGGGATTTTTACGGCGCATGCCTCGGCATATCCGGGGTGAGAACGTCACGCGAGGCGATGTGGGCGAGATGTGTGTATATATATATGTATATGTATGTATATATGTATATACATATATATAAATATATATGCCTAGGGGTGAAACGGGGCCATCGCCGACGGAGAGTATCGCACGACGCGTAGCACAACGCAGCGGCCGCCGGGGTTTTCCTCTTTCTCCCCCGGAGTGCCGACGCGCGCGACCGCACACGCACCCTCTCGCGCACGCACACCCCCGCGTACGCACTCGTAAGGCACGCACGCACTCACGCACGCGTGCGTATCTGCCCGCGCGCGTATCCGCGTTCGATTCGCCCCCGTCTCTCTCCCTCTCTTTCTCTCTCTCGCTTCCTTTCTCTCTCTCACGCGAGAACGTTCCGCGGCGGTCGTTTGACGCGCGAGACGCGGAACCACGACGACGAGGACGTAGACGACGAGGTGGAGAACGACGACGACGACGTGGACGACGAGCGGGCGGAGCGAGATTTCAGCATCCGCGCGCGCGGCCGCATTCGCCGGCTGGGCTCGGGGCTTTATTTCTCCTCGGTCACCCTCTCGGCAACCCGGCTCCCCTCGCCCTGCCGCCAGCCCCTTCGCCGACCACCCCTCGCCCGTCGTCCGGAGATTCGAGCGCGCACTGCGCAAGCCCATAATTATTCTCCCCGCGCGCGTATCGAGGAATGAGGCTTATTAGCGGGAGGCAACTCTGTTTCTCCCTTTCCCTCCCAGCTTCCCCGGTTTTCTCCCCTGGCCCTTGCGCCCCCTCTGCGAATCCCCGCCGAGAACCCGAAAACTATGCTGCGAGTGCCGCGCGAGTCGTTTCGTCATTTAGGAGCTTGCGCGACGCACCTGATGCATTCGGGGGATTCGATTAAAGCTCCGCAACCCCCTCGGCCATTCTCCGTGCTCTTCCCTCTCGCTCCCAGTACCGTGAAATTAGTTTTTCGATCGCGCTCGGGTGTGCACACGTCCCCGCGTACTTATTGACTTAATTCCAAATCAATCGCCGCGATTACGCGCGGCTATTTTACTTTCCCCCGCTTGTTTCTATCGACAATTATATTACGGCCACGAGACGCGGCGTCTATCATTTATTTAACAGAGAGTTCTATTTTTCCCTCTTGTCCGTCTATTTAAAGATAACGCATGAGAAATGTACAAGCGTTTCCACATAATGGATACGGCTGGTGCATGTACATAAACTCTTAAATCGCGTTTCCCGGTGGCATCCGTGGGAAAGTGACGTCACTTAGGACGTAGCTTAAGGATCATCACACCAATTCGACCTACCTACTCCAGTCCTCCCCCCCATCGTCGGCCGTAGGGTGTAACTAAAAGGACACCCTGCGGAAGAATTATCGCGTTACGGTGTGTGACCGCACAACTTGGACGCCTCGGTACACCAGCGGGGGCGCGCGCGCGCGCGCACACGCACGTGAGTGTGCACGTGCAGGGCAACACACGTATAATGCGGGTACGAAACGATCGGTATTGCGGGATACGCTGCGGATCACTGAACTCGACGTACCACGCGTGTACCCTCTAATCAAGGGCAAACTTAATCAACTGGATTGGTTACTAATTGTAAGGAACAACGGTGTAAGATTATATATTTTATTTTTTAACAAATTTTCACAATATTAATGATTATATATATATATGTATGTGTGTATATTTAACATAAATATTATAATGTGTGCACACAATAATTTCAACATATATGTGATTTATTATTGCATATATATAATATGTTTTGTAACAAACTTGCACAATTAAAAATAATATATATTTCGAGAAGGCAAGTGTGTAAATATATTATATATATACATATATATGTGTATATATAAAGTATGTACTATAATGTAGGCACAAATTTATGTAAACATACGTCATACATTATTGTATATATTCGTATATACGTATATATATATATACATATACATGGGCACACATTGTGCGTGTGCACATACAGTAATGGAAATCAGTCTTGGAATCAGTAAAAAAAACTCAGTCTTAATCATTAATTGTTTAAGGTCGTTGGTATAGCCCGCTCGCAACTATTTACAATCGTACGAATAAACGCACAGAAAAAAGATGAAACGTCGCGGCAAAGCATACTTAATAGACCCGCTAAATTGCTTCACGCTAATGAGCGCGTTCCGGCAAGACACTACTACAGCGGTACGCTACAACTGGTAGCGGTTGCGATTTTTCATAATTGCTCAAGTATATTGCTAGGAACAATATGTCATTCGTGAGCCAATCTTCAACATTTTCCGTTCTATTCGTTACAATTTTTTCTTAATTGGCAAACGCGACTCTTACAATAAAAACACAATTCTGAAATTGTGCACGGTAATGTAAGTATGGCGCCGCTACAACTGCAGCAAAAGAGCCTGCAATTGTAGCGGCGCTACGGTAACAGGTCTTTTCGGAACGCACTCGATAATGTGACTGCCGGTTCGCTCACGACAAACAATAGAAAATCAACGTGGATGGTTAACCACATCGCACTCTTGTCGTAAAGATTAATCAACGAATGAAAGCACGTAAAAAGCTTCTTCGCAATGCGTGTGCATACCAGAGATGAGCGTACTAGCCGCTTCTCACGATGCTTCTCCGCAGCCACACACGGATTAATATATAGATACGCCGATTATATTATATATATAAAAAGTGCTTTGACGTTGCACTATATCCCTGGCGAAAATAATATGTTTATAAGAAGTTGAGTCAATGTTTTATTTGAGTTTTAAAACATTTACTGAATTGTTTGTGAGATATGAATTTAAGCACGGAGTTGTTTATGACATATTCACGATTACACGTGTTCAAATTGTGTTCAATGATACAATGTGAAACGTTTCCATTATAGTTTACTAAGTGTTTGTACGACGTTATTCCCAGTAAAGAATTAACCAGGTGTCTCTGCAACGTATTTCCAAACGTTGTAACCATCAATAAAACTCTTCGTAAACAATGTAACTATCGATAAAATTCTTCATAAATAAACATAAACATCGTCTCTCACTTAAAAGTTTCGCCAGGGATATTCCAAAAAAACTCATCGCGGTCCTTAAGAATAAAACAACGCACGTCGTATACGCACGTACCTACATACAAATTGAGTAGAATATATTTGTGTAATTATCCTACATGTGTGCATAGGCTGCCCCCCCTGCCATATATAGACTGCGCGTTCTTATGGGTGCGCTGAAGACTACATTGAAGGATAGAGATATTGCGTGAGTGACACTCCTCTGTCGCATTTTGTTAAGATGGGGGGGGGGGGAGAAACGCATATTAGATAAAAGCACACTCATTAAGACTATTTCTCCGTTACTTGAATGTAGTCTTCAATGACAATAACAATGGCAATGACGATGACGTTTCTTACTTAAAATTTTGACATTTTCACCTGTGCATTTGGAGCAAACACAGAACATTGCGGCAACGTTGCGACAATGTTGTAACGTTGCTGCAATACTGTTTGTTGGGTTGTAATATCTCCACTCATGTAAGGAAAAACTAAAAACACTTTCACTGTACAAATAGAATATGAGCTTTCTTGAATGAACCTACTTGGAAATCGATCGAATCAGTCATTATTGAGATCCGATTATCTAAAGGCCTCTCAACTCGCGTAAGTATACACACGGTCGGTCTCGCGCGCACGATTTTTCTATCGCTTACACTTGGCGCGAGACACTACACACCGTGTCGCTTGATTCTTCGGACAGAAGGCCGGTATTCATAGTCGATTCTTATTTCAATATCATCTTAGGTGTTGTCTTAAGAGGCTAATGCGGTTCTGCGATTACTTAAAACTACATTAAGGGCCAGTTTCACAAACGCCGGTCATCTACTAACCGGAACTTAATCGATTCTCTCTGTCTCTTCAATAATAAGATAGAAAAAGATAAGGAGTTGACTGAACTTTAGTTAACAGTTAACCGACGTTTGCGAAACTGAACCTAAGAGTGCGTTTGAGATAATCTTAAATATAAGAACGGACTATGAATACCGGGCTATGTATAAGTCTATGCATCTGCCGCGTGTATAAAGTCTTCTCTCCTATGTACTAAGGCACGAACATACGATATGTTGTTGCACTCGTATTAGCGATGAATATTTAATTAATTCACACTATACCGTGTACATACAATTAAAGTAAAATTTATGAAAGCCTAATAATAACGTACCTTACTTGCTACTTATAATTACAGCGTATATAATTGATAAAAAAAAACTATATAGGCACAACAATGATTAATAAAGTAATCCATGTGGACTATTTAATAAAACATATAATAAACTTCACGTTATCTTATTACATGTAAGATAATCGAGGTATAATTTGAGGTAGTCGAGAATACGCCATTGGACAGCGGGCGCTATATAAAATAGTAGAGTGTTTGATCCATAGACATATAAGAAAATATATTATGACTATGGTTTAATTACACGGATGGCAGGTACTGCATTAACTTGTAGAACTTCATACATTTGGTAAATATGTTCGCGCACTATAAAAATTCTCTTTCGATGATAAATATGGAATGACTTTATATATATATATATATATATATATATATATGTTGGCGTTTTGTGTGGAAACTTTGGTGTTTAGGGAGACAAAGTATCGACGAGAACTTATCGAGCGGACGACTCTACCGGTCCGCTTTCAATGCGCAGCATCATCGAGTTTCAGCATAATCGATTTCGAATGAATAAAAGTTAATTCAGCCACGAAATTTAAAATGTCGAGAGTTTCTTTTACAAAGTACTAAATGATTACAAACCAATGGTTATTTATATCTCGTGTCTCGAAGACCGCTACGCAAAACATTAATGCTATGTAAACATTTATTTGTACAGTTTCCAATATATTCGATACTGCTAAGCTATAGATAAGTTGTCTCTTGGAATCATAGAGAATCTGTCTTTTTGTTTAATTGCAAATTGGAATTCCCTCGATACTTTGCTCCGATAGAGTATTTCGATATGTACATACAGGTGCATATTTCAAATCTATTTTATCAGTCTCATATTAATGAACACGTAGTTTTATGAGGTATTTCGTTACCCGTACTATTATTGAGCACAATATTGCAATCGTTTCTCGGAGATGGAGTTAGTAACGATCATCAAATATAACGACAAAAGACTTACATTTGCTAACAAATTAATAGTGGCAAATTAACACAGTATTTAATTGCGTGGAGAGAGTGCAGATATGAGTGTCATGTATTATCTCGCTGTCAATTTCTCCACACAAACGAAACTGTCGCAAGACGAAAAACTATAAACCTAAATGTTGTGCAGTATATCAATTACAGACGTGTCTTATTTAATAATTTTGAAGAAATTCTTTTTTATATTATTTTTTAAAATTCACAAATATTGGACAAACAGGACAGGACACATTTCTTTGGCAAATTATTGCTTTCAGGCCTAAAGAGTCAAGATTTTGAACAAATATATTATGCTGGTATTAATTAAGTTATATAAAAATCGCGTAATTCATAATAACGATTTATAAATTTAGAAAAATTAACAAATTTAAAAATTTTTTAATATTTCAGTGTATTATACTAAATGTCAAAATGCATATCTTTAACACTAATATAAAACTACTGGCTATATTCTCAGTTATGTAATAATTTGTTTAGCAGCAAATACCACTAAAATATTGCGGTAGATTAGCATCAATTATATTGGCGCTAATCTCGGAACTCGTATTACTCTACAGACCTCACGGGCATAATTTGACGGCAGCTTGCCAGCAGAAATCGCACAGAATTTGTCATTCCGTTAAATTCACCAAAAATTAAACATACCATTTAAATGATTACAATTAATTATTTCATTTGATAATTAAATGATTATCATTTAATGGAAATTATTATTTAAATGTTTATGATAATGGGATGGTAGATACTGTTTGATTTCTGCAGTCGATCTGTCTTTGCTGTCGATTTATGCTGTGCATACCATATATCATGCCAATGTTGTCTAGATATATTTAGAAATATATTCTGAATTTGGCAGATATTATGCAATATTTGTTTTTAATTTCTTTCTGGGATGTGAAAAAAATACAAGATCGGTAAAAACGTACAAGAAAAACAATTCTTCCGCAACGTATATACGATGAATAGAGTATCATTACTATACATATATACAAAGGATAGGAAAATTACTTTTTCAAAGTAACTCGTTACATTTACAAAAATAATACGTTCTCGTTATCGTTACTGAAAAAGTCATAAATCGTTATTGTTTCTTTTTTCATTCTGAAACGAGATTTGACAAATTAAAAACATCTACTCTTATAATAGTTTCTTATTATAGTATAGTATCTTAACAAAGATAAACAACCAAATTTAGAATTGTTGTATCGCCAGTAATTAAAACAAAATACTCAAGGATTAGATCGACCAAGGCATATTTTTATATTTTTATATTTTATAGTTTTACATTTTACAAGTTATTACCGTTTTATATTTTGACTAAGATATTGATTTGTAGATGCTTCGTTGTCACAAGCAATAGGGTCCACTTGAAAAGGACCAGTATTACTGGCCGAAACGTCGTGGTAAAATTTAAACAAAAATAAAACTGCCAGCCTTGGTCGATCTAATCCTTAAGTATTTTAAAGATAAACAATTTTTCATATTAAAATCTAAAGAAAGAAATTTTGAAAAGAAATAAATGTTGAAAATGTAAATGAAAATTTTTATTTCTATGAAAAGTATAACTAGAGCTAGAGTTTTTTTACTGCACTGAGAAAATTTTTCATCGGATAAACCAGTTAAGTAGCGTTTCCGATTAATTTTTCCGATTACGTTTTCCGATTAAATTATTATTAAATTGGATACATCCGATGGAATTTATCCGACAAAATGCAGTTACCGATGAAATTTGATTGATGAAAAACCGATCACATTTTTCATCGGATATGCAATTTAGTCGGACATATCCGTTTGTTATTATGTAATTGGACTATCCGATTATATTTAATCGGACATTTTTCTCAGTGTGCGCTTTCAATTTTTTTTCAAATTTTTAACTAATAGTTTTTCTGATATAATAACACATAATAATAGATTAAATGTAAAACATTATAATTGTATTTTATAACTAGGTTTAAAATATATGTACAAAGTGACGTCGTTACCAGAAGTAACTTGTAATAGCGTTACAAGTAACGCTTTACATCCGTATTCGTTGTTTCCCTATTCTGGTATATACGTTGCGGAGGAATTGTTTTTCTTAGCCATTATAATATATCCTTGGGGAAATAAACACTACAAGTTAGCTGTGGTCGCCGTCGCTGTTATCGAGCCCTGTTTCCTCTTCTTTCACGTCCGATGTAGTGGACGGCGGAACTATCACTGGAACATCAGATTTGCGACTTACCGACAGGTCCTCTACTTGATCATCTAGGACCTGCTGTTGATGCTGCTGTCTCCTAACGCAGCGTATCACCGGACTCGCGGTGCGAGGGGCAATCGAGTCACGGTCCTGCGGCATCTCCTTCTTTATCTTGTCGTAGATGGTCTCAAAAAGCACATTACTAGTACTGGCCAGACTGTCGACGACGTCCATGTTACTACTGCCACTCTCATTCTCATTTTCGAACAGGGTATTGTCTTTAGCGCGGCTGTCGTAGAGAGCGCCGTTCACGTTTGCGCCGACGCCATACGGGAAGCATGCCGTGCTACCCCCGTTGCTCGTCGAGCGCTTCATTGACGGCCGTGATGTTGGAATGCCGAGCTTCTTCACTTTGTCGTAAAGTGTACGCGATGGCACGCCATACTTTTTAGCCGCCTGAACGGCGCTCTCACCCGACTTCACCGCCTCGATCGCCTTGTAAATGTCCTCTCGGGTGTACTGCTTATAGCGTTTCCACTCTGGCTTCGGTTGGACGCAGTCCGCTGGTGCTACAACAAATACGAGTAAAATTTAGCAGTGAAATGTTGTCATTACAATATCTAAAATTCATAGGGTGTATAAAAATTTCTACTATCATTATAACACTGACAAGGTACCGTGTAATTGAAAATAGATCTCGTCTGCAGCGAATTGTTCACCGTAAAAACATACGCGTTATAACAATTATATTACGTTATATTATATCGACTGATCTCTTTCGCAAAGTTGCATCTCGATTTTACGCATGCTGAGAAAAATATCCGATTAAATATAACCGGATAATCCAATTACATGATAACAAACGGATGTATCCGATTAAATTGTACATCCGACGAAAAATATGGTTAATATATAGTTAAACTAGTCGACGTTGCGATGCGGTAACACAGACTTCTATATACTGCTAGACTGCCAAATTCAAGCTAAAAATGGAGGCGAGACCATCGCCATATTTTGTAGGCAAATAAAGTTAGTACACGTACGTCTTGTGTGTCTACTAGGGCTATCATTTTTTATAACTTCGAAGATTCAAAGCTTCGAAGTTGACTTCGAACTTTTATACTAATAAATACAAAAGGACATATACAATAAATCGCTGACTGGACAATTATATACGCAAACAGTCGCCATCGCAAGATGTCACACTTCGAGGGTAATGAGTTGCTTGTGAATATTACGAAATCTCTGCCTAGTGCGTACCGCATAATCCCTATAAAATAGATTTGCGCGACGAGTGAAATGAAGTTGTCGCTGGCACGAATAAATTTTTCGAAGCCTCGAAGATTTCAAAAGTTCAAAGTTCGAATGTCGAAGCCTCCGAAGAAAACCACCAGTCCTAGTGTCTACAGGGTGTCGTCGCAATCGAACTTTCTAATCTCATTCGACACCGATCTCATTCGCGGAATTCTTGATGGTACTTGAGATATAATAGCTACCTGAGTTTCTCATAGATTCCCTGCTGTACGACGGTGGAGATGGCTGCCTCTCGTCCTCATCCGCGTACGAAACGTCGGCGTGGGGAGTCTCACCCTGAGTCTGGTCGCTAGTGCGGCGGTTATCACTGTCGTTCGCGGACTCGTTACTGTTCATGTTGCGATAGTGCATCGACTCATGGCTGACCAGCTCCTGCGGTATTTTCTGAGAACTGTCAACCTGAGTCTGGCCGAGTACCGTGCGCAGTATCGGCGTATCGTTCCTCACCAGGCACAACGGCAGCGTCGATTTCCGTCGCTTGATCAGCGAGGTGTCGATATTGCTGTCGTAGGATCCGCTGCCGTCGCCTGACCCGTACTGATGACTCGTTATGGAAGGCAACTGCCACGATAACGAGGTGGCTGGAATTGGCATCCCGGATTTCCCGCAAAAGGTGGAATAGACGCCGGTGGAGTGCGGCGGCGACGAGTGGCTACAGCCACCGGTGCTTGTGCTGATAGCCGGCGGCGGCGATGTCGACGGCGTGTCCCGTATTACACCCTCCTGTTTGTCAGCTTTCATCAAGCCCTTCACCTGCAGTATTTCCGCGGTTTTCAGCAACGCCTGCAGTTGATTATGTACCACGTTCACTTCGCCGCGATACATGAACTCCAATATCGCCTTTAAATCCATATACGCAATATCCTTGAGGATGATCACCGGATGGTGATGCAAAGGTGACAGCGAGTGAAACAGAGTCTGGAAGTATGTCGAGCTCGCCGCTAGCACTATCTTGTGGCAGCTGATAGTAAGACCGCTGTCAACAGCGAGGGTGACATCGGTGAACGACGAGTCTTGCAGCAGGTTTTCGAAGGCGGATATCACATTCGTCTGATGATTGTTCCATCGGAGGCAATATTGTGAATAGTGATTGTTCATGATGTCCGAGATGATTATATGTCTAACTAGCAGACACACTCCCGGTCAAAAAGATGCTTTCGACTGAAGTTGAACTGTCTTGGTCAAGGGCTTAAGTAGAAATGCTCTTCGCAATCTCCCGTGGCTCCCCACTCAAATACCTAAAATTTCCTGTTAGTGATGTATATGTTTCATGTATAAAAACCCCAACCCCCCCAACATTATCGGTAAATATACAGAATTATCTAGGGAGCTGTGGTAGGGGTCAAAGTTCAAATGCATCGCTATTTGCACGCGACAACTTCTTTCTCTCCGTTACAGGGACTAGTTCAACAAAAACTATTTACATTGATATCGAAGGGACGGAAATAATTTTCACTTCGACCTTATTCACGTAGAAATAATCGTCGTAGAAAAAAAACGTAGAAAAAAAAGTCCAAAGTTCAGAAAAGAAAAATTTGAAATTTTCCAGAACAGTCACGCTCACATTTATCGAAGAATTTACGCAATTATATAATTTCTACGCCCCCGTATAATTCCGTTAACCTGACTATCAATAAATGTGCAAATTGAAACGAATTTTCTCTGTTTTTAACATAATTCAAAATTCGACAAAATCTATAAAATTGCAATGTATTTAAAGAATGCAAGTTGATGCACATTTTCTTTTTGTTACATGTTTTTGATTTTCAAAATATCCATATTAGACGAATACCTTTTCGCAGGTTTTAAATTACAATAGAAATATATCCGCGCCTCAGGATGATTCTCGAAATCTTTAATTGGAACAGTACGTTCTCTAAATCATTGATTTTACATGCGAATAACATATTAGCCTCTAATAGACGCCTGTGCTGAATATACTTCTGCATCTAATTTCACTTCGGCGAACAAATCATAGTTCCGAAACTGTTTTCGAGACTCGCATGAGAAAAGATTAGGTATCTAAGGTCCAAGAGATAGAAAAGGAAATACCTCAATTTCAGTATCTGTACACACACAAACTAGAAAATGACCACACATAGAGGAGATACGATAGATATGAACCGTCGCGACGTCGCAAAATATTTACGTTACACGTGTCGAAAGAACATTCTATTGTATTCAAAATCCTTGAACTAGTATTCGAAACATATTCAAAGTTAAGTCATTATAATTAGAATTCTATTACATTTATTTTATATTATATATAAAAATCTACTATAATAATAAAATTTCTTACAATATCGCTTTAGAATCGTAATTACTGAAACATTGGAGTAATACAACGGTATTACTCTAATATTAATGCATTAGTATTAATGCGTGGTAATATAATTATTACAATATCATTATATTGCGTATTATCGTCGATAAAGGCCAGATAAAATTACGACGAGATCTGTGCAAGTACAGTCTCCAACAATTGCACGCAACTTTTGCCGAATTCCTAAAAAGTTGGTCGTTACTTTCGCAGGTATGCGTCTTAGACGTATACGAGCACAATAGAATAGTAGAGCCATTGTCGAAATGTACATAATTCAAATTTTTTTTAACCCTTTCCGGCCACAGCCATATTTTATATTAGCGTGAAAGGGTGGATAAAAAAGTTTCTTTAGTAAACCCAACAATGGACATTTGTGTAAATCAAGAAGTAAACCCAATTGTTATATCCTCGTAAACTTGCTTTCATATACTAAGATTAAAAAAATTAAGTGGCTGGGCTATAGAGAACTGACCGCCTTCTGCTGGTCTATTTATAAATATTTTCTATTTTCTATTTATAAATTTATATTATTTATAAACCAAACCGCGTCGGTCTTACTATCGAATGCCCGTAAATACTTTTTATAAATTCGGCAACAGCGGCGCGCGTGGAAAATTTGGAAGATTATGCAGTTTCCTCTAGTTCGAGCGGAGCAAACTTTCCACGAAAAAATAATCATTCTCTACGCAGGGTTTCACTCGCGGGAATTTTACAAACTTCTCTTAGTGTGTTCATTTTATTGACTTTTATTCATTAAAATATGGAAAGAGAGAGGGGAAGCAGGTTAAAAAGACGCAAAAAGGAGAACAGCCAAAGATTGGAGAAAAATGCAGGACGTAAAGGAAAGAGAAATAGGAGAGTAGTAATAAAGGCGTTTGCACGGATAGATAGTATACCAAACAGCTAGTATAGGAAAGCAATAATTTGTGATATGCAGTGAGAGGTGTAAAGTCAATAAGATAAGGAAGTTGGCAAGAAGGAAAACGTAGAGGAGGACGCACCGGTATAAATGCCATCCCTATCCGTGTGAGATGCAATAATATAAGCGGACAACTTGTACGTGCATACATATGCAATAATAAGGAACAGAAGATGAATAAGTTAAGAGACAGTGCATGTAAAGGTTTGCGTGGTTAAGAGGCTCAAATGTTAATCAATCGACTCATTATATTATATTATTAAAAAATATTAAATTAAATAAAAAACTGAAATTAAAATAAAATAAAAAAATTAATATATTAAATAAAATTATTTTTAGTAACAAAATGAGATTATTTTATTAATATTATTGATTTATTATTAATAATAAAAAATTAAATAATATAAAACTTAATTAAATTAGTAGTAGTACTACTAATAATACTACTACTACTAGTCACAAGCTGAAACTTTTTGCAACATTGTTTTATATAAGGGGCTATGATTAATGACTGTGATATTAAATTAATTAGTTTTATAAAAATATATTATAAAATAAAAGTTAATATAATGTTAAAAATTAATATATAACAAAAATAAAATAATAAAAATAAAATAGTATATATTATTGTATATGTAAATTAATAATAATAAATATAATATAAAAATCATAATATCAAATTTTAATATAAAAAATAAAGTAATAATAAAATTAATTAAATTAATTAATTATCTAATGAGAATAGTCTTAAAACTCGCCAGCAGTAATTAACAACATCAGTAATTTTTATTGACAGTATCTGGCAATTTCTATATTATTAAAATTGCCAGATACTGTCAATAAAAATCACTGATGTTAATTAATTATATTTAAAAAATAAACTGAAAGAAATATATATCATTGGCTTTATTCATTTCCGTGCACGTCTACGTGATTTACTTTTGGTATAACGTATGCAAAACTGCATATGCAACTTGAAGAATATTTAATTATATTTGCATTTTCCCCCTCGATTTGACATTTGAAACTTAGCCATGGCGGATCTGTCACGTCTCCGCTCATATTTCTTCCCTCGCTCTGTGAATGATTGAGATAATGAGAGAAAATTAAACGATCGATTGGCTCGTAGCTGGGGTGAGTTCGCGTCGCAAAGGGTTTCTAGTCGATATTTGCATTTCTCGTGTAGGGTGAGTCATATGATCTCGCCGACTTTCAGTTTGATCGCCCCGGTAGGAATTAGGAGCGGGAACACAATGATAAGGAGGCGATAAGGAAGGTCTGAAATGTGGAATTACGTGGAAACATACTGCATTTAATGATGCCAAAGAGAGACGAATGAAAATCTTGACGTAATCTGGTCGACCTGAAAATTATCCTCGACCGATCTACCCGCCAAACGAACATTAAAGCTCGCGGAAAAAGCTCGCAGGAGAAAAGCGAGAATGTAAGAAAAATATTAGCGATAAAACGGCAAGCAATTTGCAAACGAAACCCAGCTGATTCTGTAATTCCTTGTAATTCCTTGAATGGATTCATGAGTCTGTGCTAGTAAATTCATCTCGGTAATCAGTGGATTTATAATGATAGTGTCAATTTCTAAAATTTTCCAAGTAGCAACCATATGTTTGCACATCTCGAATAAGTACGAATTCTTTGCTAAAAATTTGGTGTATAAGCGACAAGACGATACAAAGTTAAAAGCAAACAGACAAAAGTAAGCTTACTTTAAGTTACAGTAAACAAAGAATTTGATTTAGTGATAAAATGAAATGTCTTAACGTTTCAAGAGTTTTTATATAACTCTTTTCTTTTTATAAATCGTCGCGTTTATACGTTAAGTTAAAGGAGATCGTTTAAATGTCCCGAACGCCCGCTTCGCGCTCGGCTAGGCAAAGAACAGATGTGATAGTATCGTCTTCTCGCGAGCCATTAAAAGCGAAGAAGAGGGAGCATTGAACTTACTTTGTAAGCGACTCGTAGCAACGGCGAAACCCGGTGCAGCCGATCTAATAAAAGCGAACGCTGCCCGGAGAGATTCAGGCTGGAGACCGTTTCCGCAGAGTTGCGCGCCTTCTAATGTTTTCACGGGCACAGGGCGCGGATTATCTGTCTGACAGCGACGGGCCACCTCACGGCCGTTATCAATGTCGTATGTTCCAATACGATCTTTCCTCCTCCTCCCCCCCACTTTTTTTTATCTCGTCTGACGCGTATCGCGAAGTGCGGAGGCACTTCGGACGCATCTAGGAGGGACCCGCGCGCGGGTTCATCTTCTTTCTATATCGCTCGCTCTTTTTCTCACGCGTATCTACCTATACGACGTTAAAAATTGCGCTCCTCATGCGGCTGTCACGCCGCACGCGGAGGACGCGTGGTGAAGAAGAAAACAGGCACAGGCACGGAGACAAACGCACACGCACAATCGTATACGCTTAATTCTTCATACACCTATGTCTCGTATCCTTCTCCATAACCGACTGAGAACACTCGATTCCAGATTAAACGTAAAAATGCCGGTATTCTTCAATGAAACAAAGGCCTCTTTCTAAGCATAGAGAACAGGGAACTCTACTCCTGCCAGCTCAACCTGCCAGTAACCACTAGACAACGTCGGTTCTTGAAAACTTGGTCTAACTAGTCCTATGAACTAGCCACATCAGTAAGGGTGGCTCTGATGGCGCGATCCCTCCCTGCCGTCTTCCTGCCGTCTTGGCACACGATTCGTTGGTTTTAGACAAACTAGAACTGACGCTCTCCCCCCTTAACGAAATAGAATTTTCCTAGTGGCGGATAATTTGACACAAATGGAAAACCACGAGGGAAAATGGCAAAAATGTCATCCGGATAATGCCGACCGAAAAGTGAACTGAAGACGCAAACGCGCCGTAGAACTTTGAAAAAACTCGAAACCAAATGCCTCCAATCCGGCGAAAACGACGCCTATCGACTATTTCTACCGCGTAGTATTCCGCCAATGCGCATAGAACGTGCTTCTAATTGCGCATTATATTGCATTAGCTTCAAAACAACATTATTTGTGTGTTCAAAATGCGCGAATTTAACACGTTTGGGCATATTTGAGATATATAATTTTATATAATTCTCTATATTTATACATGCTTATGCATGAAAAATTATGCATAGGCGATTAATGGTACAGGTTTTTGGAATGTACTGCCACAATATACATTAAATGTGCATTTAATGCGAGACAAATGCGTGCACTAAATGCGAATTTAAATGTACATTTGACACATTATTGGGACTATTTGGGGCATTTTCTTGACTAAAACTTTTACGAAGGTTAGAGAGAGAGAGGGGGGAGGGCGGGAAGGAGGGAGGGAGAGAGTGAGGAAGGGAGGAAGGAAGGGAGGGAGGGAGGGAGGGAGGGGGGATGGAGAGAGAGAGGGGGGGGCAGGTATACCGAATCCGGACCTTTGGGAAATTGGGGAAAGGTTGCTCGTACTTTGGTGAGCGCCGATGTTAAAAAAATTGCCTTTATGCTTTGATATATTAGCACAATTAACTTTTAATTTACTACGTGTATATTAAAGTGAATCCGGAGAGAAATTTATAACATTTTCAATGCATACATACCCTAGTAGCACAGTGCATTGGCTAAACGTTGGCCCAACACAACCAAATATTGGGCCAATGTTTAACCAATGTTTGTTCAATGCACTGTGCTATTAGGGTAGTTTTTCGATTCGAAGTCGAAGCTATATCCCCGATACATAGATGTCCTTTCTACCGAAACAATGGTACGAACGCAGGATTACGCAAACGCAAAATGCTGTTTCACTCACTAGCTATTGAAATATTCCATTATTAAAATAACAAAGTATTTCGTCACAAAAAAAAACCTGGTGCCGCCAAGTGCCCACAATATATACAATAACAAAATATTTCAATAACAAATAAAACTGGGATACCGTATTTTTGCGCTTCAGGTCGGCGTTTTATGCGCGACACGCGTTGCCTACGTAATTTTCCCTATCGCGATATTAAAGCGATCGTGCTATTTTTCACATCGCGAATTGATCGCAACTCGGTCGTTTGGACGAGCAAGTTGTAAGCAAATTATTGAGACCAAGTTGGCGACAGAGGACAGAATTGTTCCCCATAAGATTGGCGTAATTAAGGAGAAAATAATCAATGGTACATGAAACTGATCGAACGAGTAAACACTGATTAAGTAATTTTGAATTTCGGCCCCCCCCCCTTTCTCTTCTCTCTCTCTCTCTCTCTCTCTCTCTCTTTTTCTCTTGTTGAATTTGACCTCTCCGACACTCCGTGGCGTTATTCACGCGAGCAGTCGTGAACAACGCCGAGAAAAATATGTAAAACTTACGCCTTTGTAAGTTACGCATGTGATAGTGACACACGGTGTTTCGGCGCAGCGTGCACGCACCACACACGCACTTATTCGCCTATACTTGCACTATCGGCCAATCACGTGCCTCCTAGGCCAATATCCTGCGGGATCAAGTAGATAGGCAAGGGATGGGCGGGCTGGCGGGCAGACTCGGCGAGCGAGCGAGCGCATATGCGTGCGTGTGTGTGCGTGCGTATTTACACACGGTGCGATGCGTGAAAAACTGTTACCCACACCCACGTCTACTTCCCGTACCAAGAGCCCACGGTGGTACCCGGCAACATACAACGCCTGCACATGTGCGTGCATTAGCTCGCGAGCGCCCTAAAGCCCGTGTCACACCGCGTATTGCGGACGCGGATTGGATTGGGATCCACGGATTGCGGATCGAAATTCAGCCAATCACAGCGAGGCAACTTGTGATCCGGATTGCAGAGCGCAGAATAGACGGCTGTCTATTTGTACGATCCGTAATCCACGAGCCAATAAAATGTTGAGCTTCAATCACGTGATCCATTTTTGTGGGTGGGCGAGTATTAACCGGTTGTCTGCTGTAGCCAAGCTAATCTAGCTCGTGCAATGGGTGCAAAGCGTGATCTTTTCTCTCACGCGATTCGTTCTCAACTATTATTAAAAATAAAAAGCGCAAACACAGTTTTCTTTTTTCATCTGTTGATTGTAATTTTGTAACTTAAACATAATGACGAGTAAGCGCGAATAAGCCACACGTGCAGACGAATAAGCGCGCGCATCGCAAACGGTATTCGTAGTGTGAAAGAAGAATCCAAATCTAGCGATCTGTAATCCCAAACGAATCCGCGTCCGTAATGCGTAGTGTGACACGGGCTTAAGAGACGAGGGGAGGATCGTGGTAGCCAAATGCGAGGGGGAAAAAGAAACGCGGGAAGTACTAGGTCTAACCGTGTGCGTTGACGAAAATTGCGACCGGGCTCCACGTCAAATCCGCTGCTCGCTGCGCGCGGGAGTGCGCGTGTAATTTCGGCGCGTAAGCGGCCCCTCGCGGGTAGCAACACGCGGGTCGACCCCGCAGCACACACACACGCACACGCGTAGGGCGTGTCCTACACAAATTGAGTAACGTTACCGAATGCGGGGGTTGGCGGCATGACGCTTCCATTCGAGTATCGTGAGAAAATCGCGAGGTTCTGAAAGAAAGGAAGGGCGAATAAAGCGCGGAAATGGGGAGAGGCCGGGCCGGGCGGATAATTAACGGATCGAAAATCCGTTAAATCCGGAGCAGAGGCCGCGAAACGTTATTAAGACGCGTTAAATTCAATAAACTGAAAAACATTTTCTTAATATTGCGACGTTTCATCAAGTTTTCTCTTTACAAAGCACGTATGCCAATCATGCCGGTCTGTAAACATTAATTTACTATATGTTAATATGATAGCACAGACTATATATGCTTGTATTAAAGCATAGGCGTGCGCAAACATTTTTCGTGGTGCATAGGGGACAGCGGTTCCAAATTTCAAAAAGTTTACACCGGCGAAGAAAAGATTCTCAGTATTTTGTTCAAAAATTTAAATAAATTAAATGAAATAGTACAAAAGTGAGCTTATTGTCAACTCGACTGACAAATTTTATATTCAATTCGTTACAACATTTCGATCTTACTTCAGGTCCTTTTTAAGTAACAATGTAAATCAACAAAAATATAAGATATTAAAATTATTAATTAGTCATCTAGTAAAAAAGAAAATTAATTAACGAATAAAATAGGGAAATAAAATAGGGACGACACCAGTCACATTGTCTCACTGTTACTCAGTCGTCAAACCTCGCTGGGTGCATAAAATAATTCTTTTTTTTTAGTGAAAAACTCGTTTTTTTGGTGGTGCCATGACACCCCCGGCGTCCGTGGGCACGCCTACGTATTAATAATATTATTACGATTCACACGATAAGTGGTAAAACTCCAAGAAAAAATATAAGCAATAAGGGTAATCGGCGAGATCGTAATAATATAAGTAGTAAGGGTAAATGTCAATGCGGGCCAATGAAGAAACAGAACTCAGGATCTCAAGATTTAAATGTTGAAAAAAAATTCTCTTTAATGTACATTTTTGCACATTGTACATTAAAGAAAATTTGTCAACGTTTAAATCTTGAGAATCCGAATTCTATTCCCTTATTGGCTCGCATTGGCATTTACCCATACTACTTGTATTATTGCGATCATAACGTAGAATATTTTCGTGATGCGTTTTGAGTGAAGTAAAAAGACTTGGACACGTTATATTTTTCGAATCTCAGCCGACGCTTTTACGCGCGAGTGTTCGATAACCGCTGTTTGTCATAAACCGCATATGCAGCCGGACGTTCCAGAATGGCCGAAAATATGCGGCATCATTCCTCTTATCTCGTAAGTGCGTCTAAAAACGGAGGATAACGGCGCGATAAAGAGCGGACGTTGGTCGAAGAAAAATCGCTTCCACGGCAATGCGCGCAAGAGAGCGAGCGCGCGCGTTGCACACTGTTGTGTGCGCATGTGCGTGCGCGCACACATGCGTGATGTGCAGCGGGCGCTTTCCCGAGTGCAATGTACGACGCCTCCGCTGCCGATTTCGTGAAGGGAATCGCTGGGAGAACGAAAAGAAGGGGGGAAGAGCGAGGAGGAAGAGAGAGAAGGGCCACGATTACGGCAAGGTGAATCTTTGTCCTGTTGCACCATCGAAATTCTACCTTATCCCAGGCAGATGCAAGTATGGGCTATGACAACAACCGGTGCATAAGCGGCTCTGATCGCCGCGGGGTGCGTCTTTCGTACTTTGTACCCATAACGCATCCCACGA